AAACTTAACATTGGCGACGAGGTAAAATATTTTTTGGGTTTTGTGTACATTGAATTAAATTGAAGAGGAGAAAGAAAATAAGTCGCTCCGTGAGGTTAAGTTGTACACGAGGATGCCACCGAAACTAGATTGGCAACAAACCTTGGACGAGTTGGCCCAAGTAAAAGCAGATGCACTGCGAGAAATTCATGCTAGAGATGAGAGAATTCGTAGTTTGGAGCAAAGAATCGCGGAGGAGCAGCAGGCACGTGCGAGAGCTGAACAACATTCAGCAGAGCAGGCAACTCAGCAGACTCATGGGCAGAGTACTGGACAACAAATTGTCATGGTTCCTGCTACATGTATTGGCACACTGCAGGAATTGGTAGAGGGTGAAGATTTTGAATTATGGTATGAAAGATTTGAGCAATACTTGTTTTCGAATAATGTTGAGGATGGTAGAAAGGTAAGCCTTTTTCTAACATTATTGGGAAAATGGGGTTATAAGTTGTTGCGTGGTCTCTGTAATCCACAGATTCCAGCATCGTTGCCACTTGATACATTAAAAAGTACATTGTCACTCAATCTTAAACCCAAACCAAATTTTTTGACTGAACGGTATAAGTTTAAGGATTGTCGTCAAAAATCTGGAGAGACAATTCATCAGTTTGATGCAAACTTGAAGCAGTGTGCAACCCATTGTGATTTTGGAGCGAGTCTGATGAGCAACATGAGGGATCAATTTGTCTGGGGTCTGAAGGATGACTCTATCAAGAGGAAATTATTAGCTGAGAAGGATGTCAGCTACGAGAGGGCAATTGAAATTGCCAGTGCTATGGAAGCAGCGAGACGAGACATGGGTGAGATAAATAGAAATGGTTCGGTAAATTTTATCAGAGACAATCGACGCAAAAGTGTTAAATTTGAAAAGACAGATTCTCAAGAGAGAAAGTGTTTTTGTTGTGGAAAAAGGGGCCATGGAGCCAATAATTGTCATTATCGTACTCTTTCGTGTAATTATTGTAAAAAGGTTGGACATTTGAAAACTGTGTGTAGAAATAATCCAGAGAATAATGAGAAACCAAAAGAGAGTCATAAGATTGGTAATTTTAAAAACAATGACAGAGGAAAAAGTCGAAATTTTCGTTCACAAGCTAATAAGGGAAATGATTATGGTAAAAGACACGAAGAACAGAATTATTTAGATGATGTTGATATTGTGGAGGATGTAATTGAAAATATGTATTCTGTTAATGATAAATTGAGTGATTGTGAACTTAGAGGTGAGGGAATTTCGTGTACTGATCCAAAGTATTTGAGTATTATTGTGAATGACATGGAAATAGAGTTTGAGATAGATTCAGGTTCACCAATCACAGCAATTTCTGAAAAAGAATTTAGAACGAATAAAATTTTTTCTAGTTTACAATTGCGTTCTACTGACAGAAAGTTTAAAGCTTATCATGGGGTTGTGATAATTCCATTAGGTATTTTGGACGTTAAAGTTTGTTATGAAAATTCTTGTAGAGAACTTGAATTATTTGTGTTACCAGGATCGAGTGATCCTATTCTCGGTAGAGAGTGGTTAAAATTGTTAGGATTTTCACTTAAATTGATGAAAGTTAAGGGAAATGAAAGTATTAATAATGTCGAGGATATTATAAATGAATTTCCTGCGGTTGTATCAGAAAAAAGAGGTTGCTGTAGATTGGGAAAATTTAGTTTAGTTTTGAAACCTGATGCGAAACCAGTATTTCACAAACCTCGACCGCTTCCTTATGCAATGAGAAGTAGAGTAGAACAAGAATTGAATCGATTGTTAAAAGATGATGTGATTTATCCAGTGGAATCTAGTGAATGGGGTACACCGATAGTACCAATTCTGAAGAAGAATGGTGAGATAAGAATGTGTGGGGATTTTAAGGTTACTGTTAATCCACATTTAAAGGTTGACAAATATCCAATACCTCGTGTTGTGGATTTGTTGTCGGTTTTAAATGGTGGTGTGGTATTTAGTACAATTGACCTGTCACATGCTTATCAACAATTAGAATTAGATAAGAAATCACAATTGTTAACCACCATTTCGACTCACAAAGGACTTTTTGCATATAAACGTTTATGTTTTGGGATTGCATCCGCTCCAGGCTTATTTCAGAGGTACATGGAAAGGGTTCTTTCGGGGATCGATGGGGTAGTATCATTTTTCGATGATATTTTGATATCTGGTTCTACGACGAAAGTACATGATGAGAGATTGCGTAATGTATTAATGAGATTAAGGGATGCTGGTTTGACAGCGAGGAAAGAAAAATGTGAATTTGGTAAAGATAGTGTGAAATTTCTTGGATTCAAGATTGACAAGAATGGTATTCATGTATTAAAAGACAAAGTGGATGTTATTTGTAAAGCGCCTATTCCGAAAAACACCACTGATTTGAAAAGATTCCTTGGGATGGCAAATTATTATTCGAGATTCATCAAAAATTTTTCGAAAATTGCCAGTCCGATGTACAAGTTATTGCAAAAAAATGTCAGGTGGTTGTGGTCAAGAGAGTGTAATGAGGCTTTTGTTAAAATTAAAAAAGCGCTGGTTTCTAGTGATGTTTTAATTCACTATAATCCAGAATTACCATTAAAGGTTACATGCGATGCATCACCTGTTGGTATTGGTGCGGTTTTATCACACGTGGTTAATAATGTGGATAGACCGGTTGCATATGCCTCAAGGGCTTTGTCAAAAGCTGAAAAAAATTATTCACAGCTTGATAAAGAAGCTTTGTCATTAATTTTTGGTATTCAGAGTTTTCATCAATACGTCTATGGACGTCAATTTATTTTAGAGACCGACCACAAACCACTCACATTTATTTTT